GCCCGCCCGCCGGCCCCGCCCCCCGCCGGAAGGAACACCCCAAGCCCGGGCCTCCCGCCGGGATCGCAGCCCTCAGGGGTGCGGGGGAGGAAAAGGGCTCCGCTCTGTACTTTAGTCTTTCCTCCTGCTTGAGACAGGGCGGGAGCGTCTGAGAGAGAAGTCGGGGCCCAGCCTGCAGGGGGTCAGCTCTGAGGACCCCCAAACCGGCAGGGCACAGAGCCCCACACGGGGAAGGGCACTGGGGTGGTGGACACCTACAGGGGGCTTCTATCCTGAACAGGGCAGGGACCCCCACCCGAACCGCAGCCTGGGGCTCTCAGGCGGCTGTCACGACCTCGACTTGGGGGCCGAGGGTCTGTAAGCACGGACGCAGAAAGGGGCTCCCCTAACCACGCCCCGTCGTATGAGAGAACATTCCCGGCACTAACACGGGCACACAGTTTCCAGAACAAAGAACAGATGTCCCGCCAGGCGGTGGTGGCCCTGACACTTGCACGTTACACGTAAGGGCGCTCGCCCCTCCCTTCAAAGCCGTCTCCTCCTCCCTAAACGGAGGCGATGATCCTATGCAACCCACACCCCGTGTTGTGAGAATTAAACACAGGGCAGGCGTGGGACCCCGCGCCTCGCACGCAGGAGGAGCACGGCTAGATCAGTGCCTTTGCTTCCCACACACGTCGCCATGGGCCGGACGGGAGCAGAGCTCGGCCCTGGGAGCCACACCCTGGAGAGGCTGGGGCGGTGACACCGGGTCACGAGACAGGGAGATGGCCCTGAGCCTGCCACCAGGGGCCCCTTGGCCTCATGTGCACAGTTCAACTCAGCTGGTTCTGCACAGGCAGCTGAGCGCTTAGCTACTCAGCACCCAGCACAGCAAAGCGGTCCCATCCTCCAGGAGCTCAAGCCGAGCCAGGGGCCTGAACGACAGCCTGGGCTAACCAGTGACTGCCGATCCCAGCGCTTCTTAGCCGTGCTCACATAGAAACACGAAAAAGCGTGGCATTTGAGAAACATTCCACAGACATTGGCAGAAACATGAACATGAAATCACCTAGCTAAGTGGGCGTGGAAGAACTGGCCGGAATCCAGCAGTGTGCTGCTGACCTGCCAGGGCCAGCTGGTCGAGGGGGCGGCGAAAGCAGCGGGAGAGAGCACTCTGTGAGGGCAGCCAAGCACACCGGCCAGAAAACCCCGACGAGAGCAGGGCGGTCACTACAGGCTCCCTGACTTACCTGCTGGACAATCTGACCATCACGCAACATCTTCCCCGAGGGGTCGCTTTATTAATGGAGACCCACGCGAGCACCACGTGCTCTGAGCTCGGGAACAGCAGCGTGTCAACCAGCGCAGACATCTCAGGACAGGCTTTGGTCCTGCTACCTGGCAGATACCCCAGCACCAACCAGCGTGCTCACCTTGACCTGCCCGAAGCCGATGGTGATGGCGGCAGCGGAGGTGAAACCTTTGATGACTGGGCAGGAGATGAAATCCAGCAGGAACCCTGGCCGGCCAACAGGGAGCACACTGAGCTGATCCCAGAAGCCACGGGGGACCGTGGGCTGGGAGAGGTGGCATGCGTGGGGCTGGGGCTAAGGACCGGCGGGCCACACGCCCTGCTTGGGCTGGTTCGGAGAGCAGGAGATGAGGCTAGGGTTCCCCCTTCCCACCTCCGCAGGGACGGCCCTTGGAATGCAGAGGAGGAAATGCTGAGGGCCAGACAACCCAGGACGCAGGTGCCTTGGTTCCCCAGGAAGGGCAGAACCACAGCCCCCCGCCCCCCGGCTGGAAGGCCCGAGAGTCTCACCCAAGCACAGGAAGCCCATGGCTAACTGGATGCAGCCCGACAGGAAGGCCAGCAGAACAGCATAGGCAGGCTCGTGGAAGGTGTAGGAGGAGACCAGGAGGGACATGATGGCTGTGGGGCCCAGAGTCACATCCCGGGAGGTGCCCAGGATCAAATACACAAAGCACCCCATGAAGGCAGAGTAAAGGCCGTACTGTTGGGGAGAGAGAGGGATGAGCACCCAGGAGGCACACCCACGGGGTCCCTAGTGAAGACGTCTGAGCACAGGGAGCGCGTGTCCACTGTGGCCTCAGGGTCCGCCAGCGCCCACGGGCAGGGAAACCTTGCTGTCTGATCCACAGCCGCGGGCCTGCAGCTATTAGTGGACCTTTCTCCTACCGGCCTGTGAGAGGAAGGGGCCTGTGTGCTTGCATCTGGGTCTGAGTCTGAGAAAGCTCTTACAGCCACATGAGCCATTCCGCTGGCCCCGTCACACAATCCAGAACTAGCTCGGTGCCTGTGTGTGGCAGTGTGACAAGTGCAGTGACGAGGCGTTACAAGGCGTGCGTCTGTCCACAGGTAGTCACACGCTCCAGGTCGTAAACCAAGGCTTCTTGGGCCCCACGGGGCTGAGCCCTGGATGCCCGCTTTGTCTGGAGGATTTCTACGCTGCTTCTGGGCCCAGAGTGGGGTCAGGTGGGATGGAGGGGACATGAGGAGCAGGGGGGCAGACACCTCACCTGGGGTGGGAGCCCAGCCACCTCAGCATAGGCCAGTGCCTGGGGTATGACCGTGAGCCCAACCGAGAGGCCAGCGATGAGGTCCATCTTCAGCCACTGCAGGGAGTATCTGGGCAGCCAGGCCAGGACGGGCAGCCGCCTCCGCACGGCCGCAGGGGAGCAGCAGCAGGACATTGGGGCCATGCCGGCCCCCAAGGGCCTGGCCTGACCCAGCGCCTTCACAGATGATGATGTGCCTGTGCTGGGCGTAGGGGACAGAGACCAGCAATCAGGGTCTGGGCTTCAAGGGGGAGGGCAGGGACATCAGGAAAGATCCATCTCCTCCCATCCCAGTGGGGTGGCATCTGAGCCAGATGGGTTAAGTCTGCCCACCTTGCTGGTCTGAGAGAGGAAGCCAACAACCTGTGCAAAAGGTGGCGTCCCCTTCCCGTGCCCTTCCGGCCCCTGCTCGCTGCTCTCCCAGAATCCCACCTGCCCCAAGCCCAGGTGTCTCCTCTCCGGGCTTTCCGACTGTGCACCAGGGTGGGCTCCACCCACTCCGGCACTGGTGTGTGGGGGGGTGTTTCCCATCCTGAGGCCGTGTCCTACTCCAGCCTCCACCTATGGCATCCCTAGAGGGTCCCCACGGGTTCTAGTTGGTTCTGGGAGAACGTCCGAGGCCCCTCCACTAATTCTGAGGGCGCAGCATCCTCCAGTGCCCTGGCGGACCCAGCGCGCAGAGCCGGTCCCGGACCACCCCCACCCCGCCCCACCGCCTGGCGGGGCCACTCAGGATCGAACGCGGCCCCCACCCGCGAAGGCCTTGTCCGGGACCGTGGCGTCTAAGGGTGGGGACTCCACACTGGGAGACGGTCCGCGGCCCACCGGCCCCAGCAAGGCCGAGGGCGGCAGGGACCTCGATGGGGACGCGGTGGGTAGGGAGCGGGGGTCCCCGTGGGAGGCGCCCGCATCG